TATCAATACATGAAACGTAGATCTCTCACAAGGTATCTGACCAGGTACACTTGTACCAGAGGTGTTTATTGGCAAAGTAGTAGTAGCAGTATTTTAAAAAGCCATCCAAATGTTGGATTTTATTAGCATGCTGCATTAATTATTACTTACTTATTTACAATATGAATGCATTTGATCTTGCTTTCAGACTGGCGGTTATTTTAGGTATATTGATGGCTGGCAGATGAGCTTTGTCAGCTGGGCTCTGGGCGAACCAAGCAAAGACCAACCTTGTGTGTACATGGATGTGGATGGACAATGGAGGACTGCTTTCTGCAATCGGACCATGAACAGTGTTTGCATTCAGACTACAGGTATGATAATGTGTCAACCTCTGTAGGTTTAAGTTATTATACTGTAAATGCTGTAATTTTATTTTGCTTATGTCTTTGGCATACCCTGTAGGTAGTATGTTTGTATTGTTCTATATGACTGAACTATTACCGATTAGTGTATAATCACCTGAAAATAAGAATTGTTGCAATCAAATACAGTTTTCAGTTCATCCAACTGGCTTTTAAATGGATTATTTAGCTATAGAAGGAGATTATTTCTCTCAAGCCATAAAGAAATACATAATCCTTCAGTTCATCTAAAAAACTCACAATCAAATTAGGAGATGCATGGCTTTCACTGGATAGAGAATTCAGTGGACATCGCCCACAACTCCATTAGTGCAACATGTGCTTTTGTTGCCTTACACACTTCTTGATCCATTAAAGAACTTCATGAGCACTAAGTTTGTGATATAATAGATCCCTAGTATAGAAAGGTTTTAGGTTACTGTACTGAAGGTCACAGTAGGACAATTTGTAACTCATCCCCGTCTCTGTCACTCACAGAAGTGCCACCAACAGAGTCAACCAACTACCCAGGAGTTTGCCCTGAAGAGACGAATGTGGAGTACCACCAGAGTTATTCCTGGCTTCCATTCAAGGGTCATTGTTATTTGTTTGTCACAGAGGAAATTGAATGGCCAGATGCAGCTAGTAGCTGTGTCAGGCACGGTAAGAGACACTCAAGAGAAAATTGGTCACCTAGTAATATGTTTGGTCATTGTTACAACCAGATTGTTTTGTTTTTCTTTTCTTGTGAAGGTGGAATACTGGCCAGCATCCAAGATCCTGCTGAGCAACAATTCATTAAAAGCAATGTGGAAATATTTCAAGACAGCCACCGCTCTTTCTGGATCGGCCTCTATAAAACCCACAGAGGTATGATTACAGAGATGAAAAATTATCTAAGGAATACTGTACTTAAAAGTCCCCTGTGCAGTTCTCTTGCACATTCATTGTTCCACACCAAAATGTATTGATCTAACAAACTTGCTGGATACATGTTTACAGCTACGTCTGTTGGCTAGCAGTCTTCTTACGGCTTTCACTGGTGCACTGCTGTGTATCTAAATACATTACACATTACCAACCCAAAATACTTACTGGCTCAAAATCACTGTTTCAGTATTAATTGTGTTTATCAGATGTTTATTTATTTTTGTTTCTTGGTTTACTCTTCATGTGCACCTTGACAGTAGGCAGGGCAAATAACAGCTACATAATCAAACGGTAATCTGGCAAACTAAGTGAAAATAGTAATGCCCTGAGTTTCTGTTCTGCATTAGGGACATGGCAGTGGTTGGATAGAACAGTCTTGGACTACACCAACTGGGATACAGATGTGCCCGAGTATGATTATGGGGAGATCGGAACCTTAGATGGGATGTGGAGGTCTGGTCGCGGATGGCACGACAGAGCATACATCTGCAAAACACCCAAAGGTAGTTTGAACAAATGGTCTTCTAATGAGCACGCACATGTAGCTTGTTCATAAATCTGGAGTAAGAGGGAGCCATACTGTGTTGAAGGTACATTTTCCTAAAAAAATGAATGGAGGGGGTGTAAATAATGGCATTAATCTGGTCATTATCACTCTTAACCCTCCAAGAAAGGTTCTAACGTCATCAACCCTTGTAAACTTATTTACAAGATGTCAAACTACTACCACATAAATTTGTATTGCAATAAACTACCAATTTACAACTACCATTATGTTAAAGTTTGTTATTCAGTGAGTAAAACATATCCTCAGTCAGACTGTGATCTTGTGACTGTCGCAATTAAGAACATTTGGTCATTAAATAAAAAAACTCTGTATATTGGAGGATAAGGATTGGTGTCCTGCTATTTTACATGTGCACTGTTGAAAATGATTATTACACGATGATCTGTACCAAGGATACAGGTGGAGTTGATAAAACATTTATATTCCTCAGAGAAATTATTTATCTGAGCATTTTTTCTTTTTCCCCAACAGTGATGCCCACTGATCCATGGTCAAAACCTGGTAAGTCACATCTCTGAAACTGAAGTCGTTGAATAATCATAATATTAGTATACTACATGTAATACAAAATGTGTTATACAATAATAAAATTAATAGTAGAAAAAATAAATAAATCACTGCAATCACCTATATGTAAAGTTAATTTTTTTAATTTAATCAATTTGTTTGAATTGTTTTGACTGATCAACATCTGCTTTCCGACTTTTGTGCAGAGCCTCACGGAGGGCAGGATCCCCACAGTCGTGTCCACACGAGCTTGATAGTCGTGCTGATGATTACTCTCGTTTCTACGCTGATGGTCATTGCATTCTTCGTCTATAAGAGGTCTCCTCGTCCCTTACCCACGTTTGACAATCCACTCTACTTCGACAGCGAACGATCCCAGCCCGATGTGGTCGATACCAATAAACTGATAGAGAATGCAGAGGTGGAAAACCCTGAGCCTATTTTAACTATTTGATTTGCAAAGTAGCAGAATCTATCTAGATGGGTCCACTATACTCTGCTGTATCCCCTACTGATGAATTACACGTTGATGCTTTATTAGTGTTTTGGCTTTGTTTTTGTTTTTTTTAACTATATATACGGTATATATTCAGTTATTTAACAACATGTCACTAAGTGCGAGTTTCAATGAAGTTGGCAATGTCTGACCTCATGGAACAGAACAATTTAGGCTCTAGGATGTCTCAATGGGAATGATTGGTATTTGATTTTGTCTTTTAAATCTATGATTGCATGTATATAATTGTTAAATGTTGTGCTTATGCTAACTAGATACTGTTCATGGCTTGTACTCTTTAAATGTGTGGAAAAACTGTTAAATAAACATTAAACTTGGCACTAAACAAAAACGTTTTAGTCAATCTTATTGTTAAAAACTGTTTTCAACAACAAATAAAAAGCATTTGGGTTTTTTTTTTTTTTTTTTTTAAGTTGTAAACTTTTATTTGTTCATCCTAGCTGGGATTTTTACCAAACGTACTGGGTTCTGTATGCTGAGTACTATTCTACTGTAGCTATTGAAGTACTTTACTTCTGGGGACATTCATGGAATGTTTTCTTTGATAATTCAATTCAAGTAGTAAGTTGAGACTTTATCTCAATCAAGAACAGACTGTCAGCATTTTGATGGCTACCTCTTCGTAAATTTTGCACAATATAACTTCACACAGTAAAACGCCTCTTTCTCTAGAATCCATGCGAATAATTTTTTCACTTTGGCAATTTGAGTCATAAGTGCTTCTGTCTGTCTTCCCATATAGTTATTACCGACTGGGTCAAAATTAAAATCATTAAGTTACAAACACTTTAACAAAGGGCTTGAATGATGTGAAGTGATGATTATGATTTTTGGGGAGATTCCCTGGGGTTAACTTTTTAGTTAATCTCCTCTTCTTTAGAGGATATAGATTATTGCTTTTTCTTTGACTAAATTTTCTCTGCTTGTTTAAGATTTTACTAATTTAGTAAGTATTGAGCCACATATAGTTTAATGTTTTTTTAATTATTATTTTTCTAGTATCAAACCCTAATGGCAGGAAATGGCAGAGGATGTTACTAGAGGTACGGGTGCCTAATTTAATAAATGTTTATTTTATTTTATTTATTACATAAATATATGCCTGGAGTACATTTGTAACACTGTAAAAGGGATAGCACAAATAAGCCAGCAGACAAAATGGTATCAACACTGCTTGGTCTCTCTCTCTCTCTCTCTCACACACACACACACACACACACACACACACACACACACACAGACAGGCCCTTCTGTAGGCTTTTACTGATGAAGATCTATGCGCATACCTACAACAAACCAGCAGAATAAATTATGGTTATCAAGTAAGAGCCTACAATTGAAATCATGCAGCTACTGTTTAAGTCCATTAGCCTGTAGCACCAATCCACCGAGTTGTTATTTTGATTAAATCTATATATCTGTCTGCCAGGGAAAGCTTTGTACAAACAGGAATTCATTTGTTTATTTAAAAAAAGGGTGCCCGGACACCCTTTGAGATCTGTCTATGCATGTGCACGCCTACTGGCACAGTTCCATAACAATTTAACTGGAATTCGAAAATACTGTTTTTCACATCCGTATTCAGACAAATACTGACAGTTATTTTTTATCTACTGCACTTCCCACAACTGTAGGCGTGGGAAGTGCAGAAAAGGGCTCTGGACAGCTCTCCAGCTTAATATCCAATAGCCTATTGCATTAACATTTTAGTCTTGACTCCTCAATAAAAACAAATCATAGATTTCGTCATAGTTTTAATTATCAAAGATCGATTTCGATCATGGAAAAAAGGTTGACGATGATCATTTGTAGTCCTTGTTTTCATTAACAAAATGAACACTGCCCACACATTTGTAATCAATATCATTGAACTTGTTGTTTAATACTCAAAGAGACTGTTCTCACAGTTTCACAAATGCTGTCATTAAGCTCAAAAGCAAATTCTAGAATGCAGATATCAGCATTTGGGTTCCAGGAATAAAAAAGGTCATACATGCCCCTCCTACTTCGTCTGAAACAAGATGCTGATTCATTAAAAAAAGAGTAAAAGATGTCATGATGAAATGACGTGGCAGGATGGGTACACAATAATAAGAGCCCTTCTTCCGACAATCATTCACACAACTCTTAAATCCTCTGTGAGAAATGCATTGATAACATCCCGTAAGATATCTCAGTCAACGATGAAGAGAACTTGTACAGCCTTTGTGTTCCTCCTCCTCCAAACATTGCTGTGTTTGGCTTCTTCAAATGGTACAGTATTCCAACATTCAATTTAAAGTTTTTTTGTGCATGTTCTTATTGTGTTACTTATGTCTGTATGTATGTAAGATGTAAGTATGCACATTGCTTGATATACTTAACTATATGTGAGACTGTTGTGTCCTTTACAGTGTGTCACCTGTGTTAACCTGTTTTTGTAGATTTGTTACAGTTCAATATAGAGGCAATTCTAATTCTAAGAGCATTGTTTGTTTTTTATATTTCTGTTTGGTCCGTGAATAATGGTCATTAACATAAACTCAAATTTACCACAACTGACGGTGAGACTGTGGAAAAAGCTGCTCGGAAGAGTTTCTGATTTCTTCTGCATACTATCATGAGAACCATGTATTGATTCTTATTTTTCTCTACAGTTTCACCGTTTCAACTGACTAACAAGGCCACTGGTTTTTGTTTGCGCAAAACATATAACTACTGCAGTCCCATAGTCTGGACAACTGGTGATCGACTTCTGTTTCTACAAAACACAAAGTGCCTCGGAGTCCAGGGGAAAAGCGTGGGAAGTGAAGTAAGCCTCTATGATTGTGATGAAAACAGTGAACTCCAAAAGTGGGAATGCAGGAATGAGACACTGCTCGCTCTCAAAGGCCAAGAGCTTTACATTGAGCTCACTGCAGATAACACAGCGGCCCTCTCCAGAACAACCGGACCCAATAACCACCTAACAATTTTAGGGTCGTCCAGCGGTGCATGCTCGAGAACATACAGAGGTTAGTTTTGTATTTCATCATCCATCTATGTCTTGTAAAACCAATTGCTCTCTGGGGAGAAATAAAGTTGAAAGTTGAAGTTGAAGAAGAGGTACAGCGTTGTGCGTTGTTGTTGGTTTGCCCAAACTCATTTATGAATAGTTATTAGCGTGACTGTTTTTTGGTTAATATTAGGGCTGTAACGGTTCTGAAACCGAGACCGAAATCGCGACACAAAAGTCCACGGTCTCGTGAGACGGTCTCGTGAGACAGAACCACGTATCCGCTTAATGTAATATCAGATAACATCTCTCTCTCCCTGTTTCTCTGCAAAATGGGGAAACGGGGAAAACCGCGGTACGAACCGAACCGTGGCTCAAAAATTGAGGTCTGAACCGACCGTGGATTTGGTGAATCGTTACAACCCTTAATATAATATTTAGAAGAATATTTTTTTTTCTCTGTTAAGTTTGCTGTATATCTCTGGAAATCAATGTGTGAAAAAGATAAAACCATCACGCTAAATGCAATCCATCCAAAATTTAAATTATTTTAACATCAAAAGTGGTGAATTAATGTGTCATATATTCGCTTAAAATGTAATCACTAAAAGGCACAGATGTTTTCAAAATCAAGCTATTCATTGTTTTCTTTTGTCCTTCTAGAATATTACACCATCGCAGGAAATGCGAATGGACGGACCTGTATGTTTCCCTTCAAGTACAAAGACATATGGTTCAACGAGTGCACGACATTTGAATCCCCAGAAAGAAGTTGGTGTGCTGTTGAAACACAATTTCAAAGAGAACTCTGGGGTTTCTGCCCAAGTAACTGTGAGTACTGCCTGTGTGGGGGCTTTATCATACTGCAGTGAGAGAAGGCATAATTAAAATGCACGATTTATATAAACAGATTTTCAATGAAGTGAATCATGTATGCTCTTATAAGCTCTTATTTAGGAGCTACCACTAGTTTACATTTTAGTCATTTTAGTCTCTAACATTCAGTGTAAACAAGGAGGCATAAATGGGCAACGTGAGATTACAGAGGGAAAAACTATCTAAGCATTACAAAATTAGGGCTGCACAATTAATCAAAATATTATCAAAATGAGGCAAATGGTCAAAAGCTAGAATATGTTGATAAAAGGTTAAATATGTGACATTATAATGAAGTGCTATATAATTCTGCAGAGATAACCTGGCCTACAAATCTCCAGATGTAAGAAAACATGTTTAGTGTTTGGTACAGATCCCAACAAATGTCACATCCTTATGATTTTAAGTGTTTCAGTAGAAATTACATTTGTGATGCAAAAATCGCCATCACAATATCTGCCAAAATAACTGCAATATGATATGATGTTCATATTTTTGTATGTATATTTCACAGCCAAAAAATACTGGCAAAAACACCCCATATCAGGAGCATATTACCAGTTCAACACACACTCCGCTCTGACTTGGTCCCAGGCTGAAACCAGCTGCAAACAGCAGGGTGCATCCCTGCTCAGTATCACAGATCCTAACCAACAGGCTCACGTCACAGGTAAGGTGACACTGACATGTATTGATAAACAGGGATGGATATCGAGAACCGCTACTAAACCGGTACCAGTTCCTGACTGGTCAGTACCATAATATCGATACTGTCGTCTGTATTTATGTAAGGTTACATAGACAGCAGACAGGGCAAAAGTGTGGGCTTACTTTACTACATATAATGAAATCAATAAGAGTATTGATAGGTATCAGTATCAATAAGCAGTAATAAAATCAACGTATCAATAAAATCATAAAAATACCCATCCCTATTGATATTGTATTTGAGCTGAGCAGTGTTTGACAAATAGCTATCAGTGCTCAATTAATATTTGTGATCCACTCTGTAATAATAGTCCATAATGAACATTATTATTATAATGAATAATTTAAATGTGTGCATGGATACTTTTCTGTTTGAGCCTTACTTATTATCATTTTACCATTTTTGTTTCCTGCCTTTTTTTCCAAACACACTCAAAGTACTGCTAAGAAGCAGGGGACAGGGGAACAAGCTTTGGACTGGGCTGATCCAGGATACAGAACATGGCTGGCACTGGTCTAATGGGAAGCCTTATCGCTATCTCAACTGGGACAATGGTAAGTTTGTGTTGCTAAGATCACTGTATCTCTGATATATATTGTCTGTCTTTTATTCTCTCTACCTATATACACCACGTTTCCAGTCAGTTGTAGAACTGATATAATTATTGATATAATTTTGCTTAAAACTTACAAACCCCAGCAGGGCCCTTGTTACACTGCAGATATTTATGGAAGCGGAGGACTTCTGACTGTTCAGTATATAGAAGAGTCTCATTACAGAGACAGAATTTGTCAAAGGGATGTCATTGTTGCTGTTTGCACACTACACAATACCTGATGTATCCATACCAACTAATTTTTAACAACATGATGAATCTTTACTGCTCTTCACAGATCATCACCATTACCACCTAATGAAGTCAGCCCAGCTTTTAACTAGCATATCCCTCTATTTTTCAAATAGCCTTGTTTTTATGTAGTTCTGTATGTATTCATTCATTACAAGATAGCGTTAACATGCATGCATTCATAAACTTTCATAAATTCATATTTACATCCATAAAAGTTTTGTTTGAAGATTTTCCTTTCTACTTATATTCCTTTCTACTGTTGTTCTATACCACTAACTTTGCCATTTGTATTACAATTCTTATTAAATATAATTTGTTTAGGTGTAAAATTTAAATAAAATTTGTGTGAATTTGAAGATTCTGAGAACTGTGTCATTAACATTAACATTAACAATCATCTTTGTTTTAGGACATCCATCTCCCGATCTAGGACACAACTGTGCAATTGTTGATAGTGCTGTAGATTACTCCTGGCAAAGTTCAACATGCACAAAGAGGTTAGGGTACATCTGCTACAGTGAAGGAGCTGTCGCTCCTCCAACTCAAGGTAAACAAACATTTATGTCCTATTTAACTCAATTTTATTTTAGCAAAGCCATCCACCAGTTACTGTATTACTATTTTATCTTTGGTTCATTAAGATCAGTGAGTCAGTAATTAGATGTCTTTGTTGTTTCATGACCAGCTGTTGAGACAGGATTTTGTTCAAGTCCTTGGATTCCCTTCAATGGCCACTGCTTCCTCCTCAATCGGACTCGGAAAACATGGCTTGAGGCTCAGAAAGTGTGCCGCAGAGAAGGAGGGGACCTAGTGAGCATCCACAACTTGGAAGACCAAAGCTTTGTAATCTCTCAACTTGGCTATGGTACGTGCACAGCTATGCAGTTCCTATGTGGTTGTCTTTAAAATCAGAACTGGATTAGAACTAAATATTTTAAATAAAACTAGAATAAGAGTAATGTTTACAACAGCAGACTCACTATATTAACTCAATCATATCTCACTGGAAACAAATCTAAAATGTCAGTAAAATAAATGATATTCCTGAAATCAAAATACTGAGTATCAGTCCCTCATCCTGTCCTCTGTCCTCCCCTGATGCTCAACTCTTCCTGCAGGTAATCCTGGTAGAGAGGGGAGGGACTGGTTTGTTTCAGCAGCTCAGTTTAAAACAAGAATTTGAAACAAAATGAGGACGACATAAAGACAGCTTTTACTTTTTCCTATTAGCTGAGCTAGCGCACTGTGCTTGCGTAAAACACAGCAGCGGGTGATGAGAGAAAGCGGACAGAGCAGATGTCTCTTTTCCATAACAAAGATAAATGACATATATTTGAGGGAAGGAGTTTTTTCTGCCCATGTCTGCAGCATCCACTGATGAGCTTTGGATTGGACTGAATGACAGAAAGACAGAGAAGCTGTTTGACTGGGCTGACCACTCTACTGTCAGCTTCACCAGCTGGGAATTTGGGAGACCTTCTGTCTTCCCTGACCAAGGAGACTGTGTTCTTATGAGGGGAGAGGTAAGGAGCACCATTTGGGAATGGTACAAATGCTAGCTTCTGGTAAAAGCATAATTATTTATCCAATGATCAGGCTAATTGTCACATATCGCACTTTAATTCACTGGACACACAGAAGTGACACACATTTTTTTATCGCGAGATTAACGTTTGTTTAACTTTGTAGTTTTTTTCACATGCTGTTGCAACTCCTAGTAACGTTAGAAAAACTACAACACCACACCAGATCTAGCTAGACCAGAAACAAAACAACAGGCACGCCGCACACACTTGTTTAAGAGTAGTAGACGTTACGTTTTGAGTGGATGGCGAGCGCAAGACGCCGAAATGGATGCCAATAATATTCTGAATGGAAAGTTTGGTGGAAATTGTTCCATTGACAAGACCAAAGTGATCTGTGTGTTTTGTCATTGTGAACTGAGCTATCATCGCAGCACGTCCAGTCTGAAATACCACTTGATGGCCAAGCACACAGCTGATTCGAATTCTCCACCCCCTCGTCAAAGCCAGGCGACAATGGATGATTTTTCAATAAAAACAACATTTGCACAAAGCAAGCCGATCCACTTTTCCATGTTGATAAGAGCATTAAAATGAAAAAAAAATAATGGGACAAAAAGAAATCAAGGGACATTTAGAATAGATAAAAATGTGCGATTAATTGCGAGTTAACTATGACATTAATGCGATTAATCGCGATTAAATATTTTAATCTTTTGACAGCACTAAAATAAACATAAAATCACGAAAATATCAGAAAACTAAAACTTTGTCCTCTGTGTGTGCGTCCGTCTTTCTCTCTAAATAAAAAAGAAAAATAATCAAATATGAGTAAGTTCCCCTTCATTAGTTTGAGTGTATAGTTCAAAATGTAACAAGATTTCCATGTGGTCAACTATTACATCAACTATATTAATTTAATTATATTTTTTGTTATTGGGATATGAAATGACCTACATGGGGATATTACATTTTGGTCATTTCGCACAGCCCTATATCTATAATACATTTGTACATACTTATGACACTTGGCTTTTTGTCTGACAGCATATGTTGAAGTTCACCTATCTGTTGGTAAATCCAGTGCTGTGCTACTTTCTTTCAGAATGGAAACTGGGCTGAGCGTGCGTGTGACCAGACACATGGCTTCATTTGTATGATGACGAGTGCCTCTGAACCCACTGGCGAAGAGGTGGAGCAGAATGCGGGCTGCAACAATGTGTGTCAACTTTACTTCTTGTAATTTATTAAAAATGTCTGTCTATGGTTTATTCCCCAAAGTTAAAGTGGTGTCATACAGGGCTGGGACTTGTACTGCAAAACTTTCTGACAGCCAATTTGTTTCACAGAATGGAACAATACTGAAAGTTGGCAAACATTTGATTAAATCCCTGGTATTGTTTATTTTATACCATACTTTGCCAAAGTTGTTGAGAAATTCCTACATACACAATAGAATACATGCTGTAAAGTGAAAGCCGTGTAGAGAGTGTGGAGTGCAGCCGTCTTGGAAATGGCAAGTTCAGTTCAGACAGAGAAGTCTACAGGTAGAGAATCCGTCAGCATTCTTTCGAACTGCTGTATGGGAGCATTATTTAGTGTTACCTATGACAATGTTACTTATGACAATGACGGAAAAAGGTGGATAAAACAGCACCTGTGTGTGCAACACGTGTGCCTTGCGCTAGCGTTAATACTTTCAATATGTTGAACCATTTGCGTCGACATCACCTCAGTGTGTCTGTTTACTGTTTACAGAGAAGGATATGCAGCCCTATGCAGTCCAAAAAACAACCCAAAACCTTGATATGAACCTCACCGCTATTAATGAGATGTTCCCACTTCTGTTTTTCGACAATCCAGGGTTGGAAAAGGCATGGTTCCTACTGCTACTTTGTAGGGACAGAGACAAAGACGTTTGATGAAGCCAAAGCTGTCTGCGAGAGCTCAAGTTCCTACTTAGCTGATGTTTCAAATGGGTAAAAAATATTATTTTGACTCCAAACATTTGAAAATACTAACAAGTAAACATGCTAGATATCAATTCAGTTATAATGCAATATATTATGTCTATTATATGCTTTTTATGTTTTGTTACTGGACATCACTCACTGATATTAGAAAACCTGCATTCATACTTGTGTAAATATTTCCAGGGTGGATAATGCATTCCTTGTGAGCTTGGTGGGGTTGAGATCAGAAAAATACTTCTGGCTAGGCCTCTCAAACCAGCAAAACACTGATGAGTTTGTGTGGACCAACACAGACTCGGTGAGATTTACCCACTGGAACACTGGAATGCCAGGTATGAAGAAATTATAATTTCTCTCTGTAAGACGTGTCCGATGCAACAGTATAGCTTCACATTTGACAATCTGTATTCGACAATGCAAGGTCACCAGAAGGGCTGCGTTGCCATGACAACTGGGATTTTTGCTGGCCTCTGGGACGTGCTGCCCTGCACCAATAAGGAGAAATACATCTGCAAACACCTGGCACAGGGGGCAGGGACAACCCCAGCACCAGTGACTGTTTCCCCTCCCAGATGTGCAGATGGCTGGACTCGGGTGATATCACGAAACTATTGCTATAAGGTAAGATCCAGTGCTGCTTAACATGAGTAAAACATGTATAGCTGCATTTTTGATATACCCCAATTACCTTTTTTTCCATATCTAAATAAGATAAGATAAGATAAGATAAGATAAGATAAGATAAGATAAGATATATTAATAAACAGACAACTGCCACAGATGGTGTTTCACTTGAGCCAGTCTAGCCCAGTCCAGTTCGGGGGTTCTGTTCTGTAGCCCCTGTAGTTTCAGGCTGCAATGCTCTTGATATCAAAAGTTGTACTCCCTTCATTAGCTGTCTGTGTCACAGCCACTGCTGTAACTGTTGACTGTGTTGTTAAGCAGACCAAACCAGCATACCAAACTAGAGTTACTAACTTCCTGTTGTTTATTCAGAAGACCACAATGCACCTGTCCCTCACATCTATCCTTCTCCACCCCCACTTCAACTTTCCTGTGCCCCCCTGGATAGACTGTGCTCACACCCATTTTATTTGCCTTGCTCTCAAACTTGTGGCAAACTGCTCAATACATAATTGGGGTTTCCTAAACTCCTGTTTCCAGGATAACTAAAATTCAGCTTAACTTTGTCTTTGTCGACTGTCACTTTCTTGCGAGTGCCCATTCGGTACTGTGCATGTGCAGCTCTCAATAGAAATGACAAGGGAGCCAGATGGATCACTTCTTCTATCAAAAACTATTCATTTCATTATTTCATTAAGTTTCAGTTTCATTAAGTGGTAAAAGTCACTTGCATCTGGCAAATACATTTAGTCTAAATACTTAGTCAAAATCGGCAAGTGAGTTGCTAGATGTATTAGTCTGATATGGCATTTTACTTGCCCTCGGCAAGCGGGCAGTACTTCTTGTTGAGTCCTGGGTTTTTGGAGGTATTAATTTACTGGTTAATAATTAATGGTTCCTTTAAATGATTATGATGATGATGAAATGATCACTTTCAGTGTAAAATGAAACTACCAAACCTTAAATCACAGTTGAACTTCCTGTCTTGTTTTGAAGTTGTATTTAGAGTCAGAGCAGAAGAAGACCTGGTATGAGGCCAGAGATTACTGCAGAGCCATCGGAGGAGACCTGCTCAGCATCCACAGCACTGTCGAGCTACAAGTGGGAGAAAGATTAGGGTATCAAGATCAATGTATTATTTTATAATTTTACAACACATACTTAAATAAGGATAATTGTAGTAAATAAAAACAAATCACTTCTTAGCTGCCAAAGTTTTTTCTTAAAACATTTTTTGCAAAAACAGGTTGCATATTAAAATCATTAACACAAATCTGTCTATTATAGGTATGGAAGCATCTGGATTGGACTTAGTGCTCCTGATCCTGTCACTGGTTACGTTTGGAGCGATGGATCCCCAGTGAGTTAAGAGTTTTGTACAGTAGTTGAGTAAATCAATTTTGGTATATGCAACTCAGTTAAATGAATATAAGTCCATTCGTCATTGCATGTTCATTCATTTGCCTTTGTTTACAGGTAAACTACCAACACTGGGAGGATGGAGAGCCAGACATTAGAAATAATGTGGATTCTTGTGCTCAAATGCAAATTAAATACTGGGATTACAGAAATTTTTGGAGGAATGAGCGGTGTGCTAAGTACAATGGATGGCTGTGCCAGATCCGTACAGGTAAAAGCATGTTAACTGGTTACAAGGGTTTCAAATAAAGGCGTGCAGTTCTTTTGTAACATTTGTTGACAAGGCTGCAGACTAAAGGACATATTTTCTGTCCGAAAATTGTCGCATGTTTAAAAAAAAAGACCTCACGTTGTGTTTACACAGATTCTGAAACTTATCAGAACGAAAAGCTCTGCGACTAAAATTGAACTTAAAAAGTTTTACATCTATACATAACGCTGAATGAATGGGGGATTGAACCAACAACTGTCCAATTAGTGGATGAGCCGCTCTTCCTCCGAGCCACAGCCACCTCTTAAGCAAGCTAGCTCCCCCAAGTAGCTTAATAACATTACGTTAACCACTGCATAGGGCAGGTGTATACAATAAAAATTCTAAGGTCCAGTTAGGGAAAATTTAAGGGGCATGAAATTTCAACCTTGAGGTGCGCACCATCAACTTTATAATCTATTCAAGATATATTTGTCTTCTGTCTCCCTACAGGAGTGACTCCAAAGCCACCCCCACCCCCCGTTACTCCTGGTAAGTGGGCAATTATGTAGGTAAAAAAAAAAAAAAGCATAAAAAAAGGTTTAGGCGGTATGGCTGTCTGGAATTTGCTACACTGGTGAATGGAGGTTGGAGGAATTTTGGTTTTGGCATTAAAAAAATGACAACTTAAACATTAGCATCAGTGTCTCCATTACTGTCGATGATTCACAGACCTGAATTCCTAGTTTTTTAAACAATTCCTCTGTGACACTTAGTTGTTTAAACTTACACATACCTTAACAACAGGTATCGCATATCGTTGAAGTAGGATGGATTGTTGATGTAACTTAAAATATATATATATATATATATATATATATATATATATATTCTTTTATTTTTGACATCTTTTCAGATTACAATGAGACCTCAGATGGGTGGCTAGTATGGAATGAGAATCAGTATTATATTAACAAAGAGGGGATGGCCATGGAAGATGCTCGTCTCTTCTGCCAAAAGAGGCATGGTGACTTGGTAACTATCAACAGTAAAGCTGAAAGTGACTTTTTGTGGAAACGGATACAGGTAAGCAATGCCATATTATACTACATTAAACAAAGAACAATTCAAGTATAAATACCACAGCATTTATCTTGGCACAAACTGCAATGTAAGTACTGCTGGTTTCACTCCTGTCTGTCTGTGTGTGTGTGTGTGTGTGTGTGTGTGTGTGTGTGTGTGTGTGTGTGCGTGTAGATGTCAGAAAGTTATGGGTCTTACTGGATAGGCGTGACAGTAGACTTGGATGGAACATTTGAGTGAGTATGACTTGAGAAATTAGAAAAATTAGACATCTTGAGATAAAGACTTTTCAGAGCCTAGTGATTATGTATTAATTATCATTTTGTATTCCACCAGTTAAAAATACATTGATACAATTTCTGTAATTTTATTTTTAAATTTAATTATTAAAATAGGTGCTGTTCCCAGGTTGGTCTGAGAAAGATGCCATGATACAGATCTTAACTGTCAGTTTTGTGTGTTCTTCAGAAATAATGCATGCATCTTGATCTTGGTCGCTCTACCATCAGATGCGTATGAATTTAGCCAGTTAATTATTTTCATGTCAACTTAGTCTGCCTACAATCAACCACCCTACACCGTCAAAGAAACAGCGTTACTGAATATGGCCCTTCTTCCACTCTGACAGGAAGATAACTTACATCTGGCTGTTATAGCTGATAACAACAACAGATTTTTTGTGTTATATTAAGGTGGATGGATGGTTCTCAAGTGGTGTTTCAATTTTGGGATCAAGGTCAGCCTGATTTTAAGAATTATGATGAGAACTGTGCAGTCATGACGCATAATGGTGAGTAAACTGAAATATGATTCACCTTCACTGACATGGATGAAAATGATGAAGTAAACAAAAGATTAAAGTTGCAATCCTTAAGATTTCAGTCCTTGTTGATTTGACAACACTGGTGAATACTGCAATAAAAGCAAGTGCGGTTGAGCAGCTACTTTGTCAGAAATACAACAGTGCCCTAAAGCAGTGGTTCCTTACATTTTTCCTTAAGGGACCCTGAGTAAACTGACAACCCCAGACTAATAGGCTAAAGGGAAGGGGCCCAAAAGTGCGTTAGTTTTCGAGATACCCCTACCAGAGGTAGGTAGGTATATTTTTTTTAATTCTCCAAGGACTCCCACATAGTATTGTGACACACTCTTCCAAATTTGGTGTGGAAGTATATAGGAGACCTTGTAGAATAATGATAACATATAGATATACTTTTTTTTTTGAAGCGAAACAGAGAGAGACATTGTCTCGTGATAGCAATAGTAATCGTAAAATAACAAATGTATATAGTTTTCTTCACAGAAAAGCTTTGGTGAAGCTTTGGTGACTTAGGCGGGTCCCAACCACTGCCTTAAAAACAGTACAGTGTGTAGCAGTGTAGTTGCCGATTGCAACTCTGTCACTTCAGCCTCCAAGCGCAAAGGAGAAACTAGGGTGGCCGCGAAGCGTGTGAAAAACAAACGCTCCTGTCTAGAGCCAGTGTTTGGTTTTAAATATTATATACCATTTAATGACTATTGCATAAAAAGCTGACAATAAATGGTATTAAGAATGGTGTTTCATTTCATGACAATCTTAAGGATTTTAACTTTAAGCCTTAATTTGATGCACGCAGAAAGCACATTGTATAAGTGTTTTTTTATGTCTTGAATTGGTTCACAGGTTTCTGGCACGATTATAATTGTGGGTATGAGCACTGGTCCATTTGTAAACGCCGTAGCTCACCACCTGCCAACACCACTGTGGCACCCACAGTAGCTCCTCAGGGTGGCTGCCCACGCCCCTGGAAAAAAATGTATTCTAAGGTCAGAGTTGACTTAATGCTTTTATGTTATGGGTGTGGTGTTGAATGGATGGGGATTATGTAGGACTAAATAAAATTTTTGGTGCTTGCAATGACATTGGCCTTTGTTTTGATAACACTGATCTTTTTTTTGTATGTATCTTTTTATCTTTTGAGATGTCACATTAAGATGTTTTGTCAGTTGTAAATCAAAGTATAATTCCTCACCTCCAGTGTTACAACATCATTACCAACCAGAAAGTAACATGGGATGAAGGGAGGAAACAATGCCAAGACATGGGTGGAAATCTGGTCTCCATTCCCTCAAGATCTGTGGAAGGTTTGATTCACCTATTTTATTTTCTGATAAAATAACCACTGATCTTCACAACCTGTTCATGGTTGTATGATCAGGGTCCATTAATGGCTGAATCCTGAAATGGCTGTTGACAAAACCACACTGGTATCCGAGCCTGCATGGGAAAGTATTATCTATTTTGTAGTCTTTTGTGCGCAAGATGACAGATTTAAATAGAGGGATTGTGATGATTGTGAGGCTGGAGGCTTAATAATACATTTATTACAAAAGACTGGAGGGGAAAGTTTTAAAATGCTGATTGCATTTTAATGTTTACAAAAAAACAAAACAAGAAAACAAAAATAAAGCTCTGCTAGCGACCAGCAGAGAATCTGTACTGAAAAAACCAAAGAGCCGTTGAAATAATACATGTATATTGTGTTTTATGTATATTGTGTATACGTGGGTAAAAACTTATATGCAAATATGTCATCCTTAAATCATCTATCTGTTAAATTTTCAGTGTTTTTGACGACGCAAATGGCTCACACACCTACTTCAGACCTTTGGATTGGTTTCCGCAAATTAAAAGGTCTTGAATATTATTGGACTGATGGGCAACCGAAACGATATGTCAACTTGGGTCTTGCAGTAAGTGGACACATATTTGAATAGAGTTTTATAATGTGATGTGGGTTGTGTGTAGCACTCCTGATAATGTATTTGTATGTGTGTGTGTGTGTGTGTGTGTGTGTGTGTGTGTGTATAAAAATGTGAAACTTTGTCTCTCCTTTGTCTGTTTCCACATTTTAGGACATTCATAGACTAATATTGCATCGAGGAGACGTTAATTGGGTAATGTTCAAATGTAACTTTACTTGAGGAATAACTGTGTACAAGAGTATAGTATACTACATGAAGCAGATGTCATCAATATTCACTATTGTGTAGAGTTAAATGCATTTCTGTTATTCATTATATCTCGGTTCACACTGCAGCATGCAGAAGTACAAAGATATTTCCAATGGCTCCATGATGGACCAGAGGTAAGAGTGATACACCACTTTGTTATGACTTGGACACAAAAACAGAACGCTTTTGGAACAATCAGACACATTTTTCATTAGTACACTATAACAGCTCAAAATCATGACAGCTAACAAAAAAATTCAAGTCCATTATGTGAAAGAGGTTTCCATACTGTGGTAATGCAATGAGAGAGGACAGTACCTTTATAGTATACATATAAATATTATACCACATGAATATAATTTCTGTGGAGGCCGCCATGTTGAATTGTCTTGTTTCTACAGTAGCCCTGAACAGACAAACCAGACACTGACTCGAGACAGGGCCTTTGACGTTTTCGCGGGTTTTATGGCCATCGTAGTTTCTCCTACACACTGTAGGAGGAGGAGGTGCAATTGCAGCCTCGCTGGTAGATGCTACTAAATCCTACACACTGGACCTTAAATAACATAATTCCTCCAATAACGGGTCTGTTTCTACATTTCTAAATTCTCCATGGGATAGTAGGCCTTCAGTTCACAAGAACATACTACGGTTGCTATTAGAAGCAACCGCAGAAGGAAATCAGCTAATAGCTAAATCTGGCATAAATCATATTTTCACATTTTGATATTTTTTTTTGTGCATGGTCTTTGTTTAATAAAGACAAATAAAGTATGCTTTATTCATAAAAATACTGTAATTACGTTGAAACATTACAGTTTTCTCTTTTCCACACCTTTCTCTCTCTGTGCTTCCTCAGATAAATTGTGCTGTGATCAATACCAGTCCTTCCTTTGGTATTGGGAAATGGATACAAAAGTCCTGCAATGATACCAATGGCTTCATCTGTCATCGAAATGTTGGTGAGCTGATCTTGTGATTGTTCTCTCTGTTATATTCCCTGTGATCTAAAAAATATTTTACAGTAGTAGCAGTAGTAGTAGTAAGGACTGGCATATTTTCTTTTAGTATTTCATAAAGTGGCTATAACTAATATTTTTATAACAAATACATGTAACAGTATGAAAGGGGTTGCTTGTAATGATGAACCTACAGATGATTATCACTCTGCAGTTCCCTTCAGCTTAATTGAGCTTTATAGCGAGCTTCAACTGATTGTTTAGCCGCCTGGCAGCTGTTTACAGTTAAAAGGCTCTAAAACCCCACTGTACACTACCTGCTCATACATTTAGCAACTAGCTGGTGGTTGTGGAGCGTATTAACATGTTATCGTGCTAAGGAGCATGATTTCTCCAGAGCTAAAAGAGAATAAATATTGGACTTATTGGCCAGGTGGCAAATAATAGATAAGAAACTGTTTACTAACATGCTTGCCATATCAAATGGTAATATGTTAAAGTTCTGTTCACAACTTATTTCCAAAAAAATACATCTTATTGAAGGTTTAAGGTGGTGCAAAATTGGCATATCAAAGATGTTGGAAATCCCTATTAATTCAACAATCAGCTGCTCTAGAATCGAAAAGCATAGCTGTGAGTCGAAGTCCAGCCGAAGTAATTGTAGCAAAGCAACTGATGATCTGCTGTGCAACTTTTCCATACTGAATGATCAAATCAAAATCATGATTTAGTTTGCATTTCAATGCTAAAATAAACAGCAGCCTATTCAAAGAGTGACCAATTTCATTTGTGGTGTCAAGGAAGTAGAAATAGTAACTCTGAGCATGTATGCATATACAACAGAGAGCACCTGACTTTAAGATGAATGGAAACATTTAATTGTCTAATTTCTCACCCTAAACAGACCCTCATCTCCCAGACTCCCCTGAACCAACAACTACTGACTATGTCAAAATATTAAATGACTCGGTGAAGGTTGTTACTCAACAAATGACCTGGGATGAAGCCAAGAAGCACTGTGAACATGATGGCGCTAAACTCACTAACATACGAAATGAGTGGTTACAGGTCTATGTTGAGCTGCTGGCCTTGAATCTCAATGCTCCCATGTGGATTGGACTGAACAAAGGGCAGGTACAGAGCAGAAAGCTTCTCAAACAGCACATCGCAAAATGACACGACTAAGCCCTGTTTGTAACTACTGACTACTGTAAAAACTTAAATCGTACTGTTCACGTTGCTGAAAAATATGTTGAAAAATAAAGCTGAATGTGGTTTGATTAATCTTTTCTTTCAGACCGATGGGTATTTCAGATATATCGACGGCTGGCACATGACATTTTCTCGATGGGATAACAATGAACCAATGAGGGAGAGACCTTGTGTCTACGTAGATGTGGATGGAAAATGGAAGACCGCATACTGTAACCAGACCATGAACAGTGTTTGCATGAAGTCTACCGGTATGTCTAATAATTATTGTTAATGTTAATAATCACAACTAATTGTTCATTTAGATAAATCAATTAAGGATGTACAATAATTATCGGGACAGATAAATGATCTGCAGATAATGGGAACATGTATATATGTATAAATTATCGTCATAATTAAATTGCAGCATAATTTATTGGTTGATATTAAAAATAACTTATTTTGAATTCTGATGCAAAATGTTTGATAGGCCTTATGTTCTACAAAAGCCAAACACATAAACTAAATTAGCCATCTTTGCTCGCTGCATCTTAACCTTTCTTACCCTGTGGTGAGTAAAAACTATAGGTTGTGAGCTTTTTAATAATACAAAAGTCAGTCAAATCAGTTATATCATCTGAAAAACTAAATCCATATTGTGCATCCCTAAATAAAATATTGTAAAATACTGTTTCTCATTCACAGACATGCCACCAAGAGAGTTAACCGATTACCCGGGAGTTTGCCCTGAAGACCCAGATACATTTGGGACAGGCAAGAAATACTTCTGGCTACCATTTAAAGGTTACTGTTACATATTTTTCACAGAAGTAAAAGAGTGGGCACCTGCATCTGCTAGCTGTTCAAGACATGGTAAGTCCTTTCTGTGGATTGAAATGATATTTGCAGGCACTAAAATGAATGTAGCTTTCAGTAAGGACTTTTTGTTTGGTGAAGGTGGATCACTAGTCAGCATTGAAGATCCCTCTGAGCAAGAATTCATTCAAAACAATGCAAGAGACTTTCAAGACAGCCACACCTCCTTCTGGACTGGCCTGTATAAAACTCACAAAGGTAAAGTCACATTGTCTGCTTGTTAATGAAAACAAAAATTCAGCCACTGAGAGGGAAAAGACTAACAAATGAACAACTAATAAAAGGAAAACACACACACACACACACACACACAAAAGAAAATAATAAATGTATTTGTCTCCAGGGGAGTGGTTGTGGGTAGACAGAACAGTCATGGACTACACAAACTGGGGTGAAGGACAACCTAATGAACATTCCCACGCAGTGATTAGCACTTTAAATGGGACATGGAAGGGCGACCATGAACGGAATGGAAGAGCGTACATCTGCAAAACACCCAAAGGTAAAATTCATCGTCTTATGTGGACTAAATTTATATCTTTATATTGTTGCATTCCAAGATTAAGTGATCACAGAGTCACAAGCATTGCAAACTACACATTGTGGACTGACTATTCAAAGCTTTCTGTCTTTCAAGACTTTCTTGAAGCATATAAGTGATTGTAAGCTTCACTGTTCCAACATACAGCACCTAATCAAGTCTTGTTCTTATTCTTCAGAGGCAAACTATTAAATTAGCAAACTAACTTGACAAAAATCGGCCAATATATCAATCCTACGCCCAACCCTATCTTCCACAATGACACACTATATGGGAAAAATAAGTAGTTGTCAACCCCAATGCTAATTTTTGTTTGTCAGGTTGGGCCAATATCAGGCTGATATTATGTAGTTTGATTTTGGTGTACAATTGTCACATTTCCCTTCTTTCTCTTTAGTATTACCACCAACGCCATTACCAACAAAACCACCTGGTAAGTTTACTTTATCTTCTTTGTATTGCTAAAAGTCGTGACTAAATTCTTTGGCTGATCATAATCATCATCTACTTTTTCAATCTGTGCAGTACTCTTCATTCATCACCGTGGCCACATCCCTTTGGTAGTTGTGGGGGTCATTACTGTGATTGCCATTGGTGCGGTCATCGCCTTGTTCATCTTTAAGAAGAAGGGTCATCGCTTACCTGTCCTTGACAAGTTAACCACCTTTGACAACCCGCTCTTCTTCAATAACGAGCAGTTGGAACCTGGTGTGATTGACACCAACAAACTGGTAGAGAATGCAGAGGAAGAAAACCCCGAGCCTCTTTTAACTGTGTAAAAATTAAAATGCTGTGTATTTCAATATTAGCTGTGTGAAACCAAGAGTTGTAATGTCTAATATATGTGAACAAAATAATAGCAGATGATAAATATAACAGATGATTAGCAATACTGCATTTCATCCTTCTTGAAGTTACATGAGCTTTATCCATTCTTCTGATGGCTTCTAGTGTATGCCTTAATATAAGTTTAGAATAATTTTATAGAGAAAGAGCAAACAGTTTTAGTTAATTATGTTTTCCCTCCAGTATCTTTCAATTTTGAATGGCTCGGAAGACCTCTGGTTTTAAACAAATTTAGCCTGGTTTGTAGATGGTAATATTTAGGTATTAAAGGTATTTTTCTTATTGTCAACATATCCCATGAAAAGATCCAAACCAACAATGGCTGAACTCTTAGTACTTTCCAACGTCCCTACCATGTCTGTGGCACTCAGCGCCACGCCCATTTGTTTTCTACTGATGACAGGATTAAAAAAAAAAAAAACAGTTCACAAATAAATGGTTTCTTTGTTTCTTAATTTCCAAAACAGCTGGGCATTGTTTTTTAGCAAAACTTTCACAAACATAAGCAAAAAGCAGATTTATTGTGGACTCTATTCAGCTGTGGATTAATAGACTGGTAAGTAGTAAGAATGTAAGGCAGTGGATGCTGGGTGTGAGCTTGACTCAAAATAAAAAACATTTGGTTTATTGTAGGGAAGTAAAGAATCCAAACAGTTACTGGTCACCGGTCGGGGTGTGTCCGTGTTTTTTGATTCATGTGAAGTAAGCTATGTGGTCAAAGAGGCATGCTCAGGAAAAAAAAAAGCCTTGTGCTGATGACTCAGTGAAACTTCGCTGTTGGCATGGATGAAGTGTAGCTGTCAGTCCTATAGTTTCATACAAAAATGAAAAATCTTCATTTTTTAGTTTGTAGTATTTAGAAAACCTATTATTTTAATAAAAAATTGACAGTGAGGTGTGTGTGAAGTGTTTCCTTATGTTATTAAACAGGATTTTGTTAAGGCTGTTATTAAAGTTGTTAAAAAAAGACACTTTATTCAGTTTGGACAAAATTCAGTTCAATTCAATTTTATTTGTATAGCGCCAATTCATAACAGAAGTTATCTCAGGACACTTTTCAAATAAAGCAGGTCTAGACTGAATTCCTTATAACATTTACAGAGACCCAAGAGTACCACCATGAGCAAGCACTTGGTGACGGGGGCAAGGAAAAACTGCCAGTTAAAAGGCAGAAACCTAGGACAGACCCTTCGGCTCTGGGTGGGTGGTCGTCTGCCTCGACCAGTTGGGAAAAAAGAAGCCAGAGATGTATTTGGAGAAAATGTTTTGGCCAATTTGTGCTGAAATACAGAAAGATTTCAATTTGAATTTGATGTCACCCAATTGCTTTGTCAACAAAGCAGTTTGTACTGGCACATCTCACCTGTTTACTTTTTGACTTCTCACGTCTCAGATTCACAGAAGTCACTTCCTCTTGACGTAAAAGGCACACAACATTTCTTTTATCACTGGCTTTGTCCAGTTGACCAAATCATTTAGGTCTTTAAACTGGTACTAACGATACCTGATGACCATTACATATTAGGGCAGCACAATTAATTCTGACAGTAAACCTGGTATTAATGCACTTCAAAACACGCTTTGATATGGACTGAATCGATGAGCAAATAAAACAGCATGTCCGGGGCTCTGACAGAGAGAAACTCTGGGTTTGTTGAAGAAAGCCTGCCAGCGAGCAGGTTAGCTTCAAATACCAGATATTTGTCTCAGAGTTTTTACCGAACCCGCTTTCAGGAATACACCCTAAAAAGACTTTGAGCACAAGAAGTTCAGCTGTACTGTCGCAGTGTGGCATTTGTCTCCTGACTGCAAGAGAGGGTAACGTGTCCTTACTCCCCAGTAGAGAGACATGATAGTAGGGATGCACCGAAATGAAAATTCTTGGCCGAAACCGAAAACCGACCGAAAATGAGGAAACCAAGGCCGAAAACTGAAACACAGAAAGAAATTATTATGCCAATTACTAGTACCATTGCATTTATGGCTATGACTGTGTACTAACCTCACTAAAATCAAGGCATTGCAATTCAAAGAATAAATCAATTACAAAAGTATGCAAATATTAATCCCACATCCTCTATGACAGAGAATGGCTGATCATCTAAGGCAATGAATTCCATAATATTTTGTGTAATGCCCTTTGCCTTGGCACCATCACTGGAAAACATCCGCCACAGACGGAGTGGGAGTGCTCGGATTGATTTTCCTTTTCTGTGCCACATTCTTCTCATATTCAGAATGGCAATCAGGATGTTTGGATTTCAGGTGATAAATTAAACCCGACGTGGAGAAACTCTTTGCAGATGCACCCCCTCTTGAAATTTCAGCATTACACGTTTTGCAAATCGCTATCCGTGGGTCTTTCTCAGATATATTGAAATACGTCCACACCGCAGACATGTTGGCGCTTATCCAGACAAGCGTGTGCTGGCCGCAGTTCTGTTTACGTCATCACAACTTTCTGTTTCAGCCGTGTTGTTTCGGTGATAAAAGTATTTCGGCCAAAAACCAAAAATGCGTTTTCGGCCGAAAATTTTTCATCCCTACATGATAGACAAAAAAATGATTTAACCACAAAAAGATTTAAAGCATATGAGACTTTCTGTCTCTTAATTCTCGAGAAGGTCCAACATTCACTCATAATAGAGACATAAGTCTGTATTTGTGTTAGCTCCTCTGTTGCCAATATTGCACCATTTGCCCAGTGAACTTGAAACTTACAAGAATTTCCAAACAGCTAACCGCAATGTTATCTAGAATATGTGTGACTCATGCTTGGCTGTTTCAACCGCAACTTGTATCACATCTGCTTCTCCGTCTTCACTTATGATGAATACGAAAAAAAGGAATTGTATTCATAAACCAAAAATAAAATCATGAATACTACTGTATTTGAGTATGTGGAATAAATGGAGGTTATTTAAATGGCAACCACTGTTAAAAGTATAAAAAAAATATGGATAATTATCAAAATCAAAAATCAGAATAGTTTCCTCTGGTTCATGTGTTTGTTAACTGCGTATTCTGGTTATGACTTAAAGATCATTTACTGGAGCATGATAGTGGTACTTTCTGTTTGCCTCATTGGCTGTATATTATGCAATGCCATACATCCATGTAGTACACATTGTTCCAGGAATGCAATGTGTAATCAACTAGAGTGTTCAAATATCAGCATTTGGGATCATTTCCCCCCCTTGATCGTCTGAAGTAAAATGTGAGTCTAGAATCTGAGACAACACAGAAAAAAGTCATGATGAGACAATACGTGTCAATGCTATTAATAGTGACTCTCTGTGAGAAATGAATGGATAAGGTCTTCTTCTGTAAAACACTTCACAAGAATTCTAATAAGGAAGAAAACTTCTAACCAGCCTTTGTGCTCCTTTTGAGTTACAATGTTTGGTTTCTGTAAAGTATAGAAATGTTTAATTTTGAGTTTGTGTGAGTTTAGTTGTGTCCATTACCGTGTGTCATTGTGTATGCTGTCAGTGTGAGGTCACCTGTGTTGTATACATTTTTGTATATTTGTTACTGCCGTTGTACTTTTTGTATCCATATTTTACAGACATGGGATGGTTGTAACTGTGTTGTTGTGTGCAAACTTGTGTGTAAATACTGTCAGTATTGTTGTCCAAATAATATAAAATCTTATTAGCCACAACCTAAACAACCCCAGTGACACACTGTACAGTTGTTTCATGGATTTTCTGGGTCCTTCTACAACATTGTCTCTCTACAGATTGACCATTTCAACTACAGACTAACAACCACTGCAGGGACATATGCTGGACAACTGGTGCTCCTCCTACATGCTCCCTACACTGGGAGTCCAGGGGGAGAAGTGTGGGAGGTGAAATAAGCCTCTATCATTAAAAACAGTGAACTCCAAAAGTGGGAAGGCAAGAATGAAACAGGGCTCGCTCTCACGGACCAAGAGCTTTACATTGAGCTCACTGCACATACCACAGCAGTTCTCACAAAATAAACAAACAAACAAACAATAAATAAATAAATACAAAATTTTACACCTCACAATTTCAGGCAGGTCCCATGGTGCTTGCACAAGAACATACAGGGGTAAAGTACAATATAAAACACTGTTGTTGTTGTTGTTGTTGTTGTGGTGGTGTTAAGGACTTATAATACTAAAATATAGATTAAAGACACAAACAAAAGAGTAAGCCACCCTCACAGCTAACTAACAGATCTTCTGCAACAGGTGACAATAAATCTCCCCAAGTTATAACACAATCCTTTAGGCTCTGTCCCTGCAGAACAGCAACAGCAACAGCAACAACAACAACAACAACAACAACAACAAAAAAAAACACAGCTAGGGGTTAAATACACAAACACGGAGGAAGCTGCTGAGACACACAGATTTCTACAAGTTGTATCTGACTCACGTCTTTTGAAATGCATTGTCCTTCCCGACATGGAGATGATATATCAGTGACATGTAATGTCTCAGTGCACTTGTTGATCAGAAACACTAAACGTTAGCTCCATGACTAACAATACTGGAACACAAGTTACCCAACGCTACCGTTAACTCTCCCAGTTGTTTCCCTTAATATCAAATGAGTTGTTAACTTTTTCAAGTTTGTTGTGAGACCAGATAACAACTAGCTTCAAAATTCACTTCAGGGTTTCTTTTCTAGATACTTATTCGCTGGCGCATCTAGTTTGTGCTAATACTTCTAATCAAAGGATGCCAACTTCACCTGAGATCCCTATCAGAAAGGAGCTCAGGGTGCAATACCATCTTTCTCCACACAGACTGGATTCCGTTTATGAAGCCGTTTCACCCCGGGGGCGATGTTTTACACATTTTATCGAAACACAATAAAAAGTGAGGAAGACCTTGTCCTGACAACACAATAAGAAGCACCTGTTGTTGACAGTATAAAATATATAAACAAAGTCAGTCTTTTTATTGAAGTCATAGTGATTAATAATAGTAGGCTGTTTCTAGTAATTCTGGATATTTTTTGATGGGAAAACTGCATTGTAGGGGGTCTGGGTTTGTTGCCTAATGGACACTTGTATCTTTGAATATATTGTTTACTAGACAGTGTTAGACAAGATTTATTTTAATGTATTTATTGTATGTAGCCTACATAATTATGCTAAACTGGATAAAAACATTGTGTACTGTATATGCAGGAACCTATCATATTAAATTTATATAGATTTAAAGTGGCTAAATACAATTTACACTAACAGTGTATCAACTGACACTGTACAAGGGGTCACTGAAGAATTACAACCTGAATCTGCTGCTAATGTTGTGTTTTATGTTTATGTTTTAATGCCCTCAAGTGGCCAAAAGAAGTTTTAAGTGTGACTGAACTATCTTGACATAAACTGATTTTAGTATAAACCTCCCTCTCGTACAAATGAGGTCATGTTTCTTGTGTCACACGGTCAGGAAAGTGGAAATAAATGGAAAAAAAAACCTCAATGCTTCCCATCTAATTTCTCACCCAAAACAGATCTGTTTCTCCCAGACTCCTTTCTGAATCGACAACTCCTACCGACTTCGTCGGAATAGTTAATGTCTCCGTCAAGGTTGTTTCTCAACAAATTAACTGTAATGGAGCTGAGACACACTATGGGGTTGTGATGCTGCCAAACTGGCTAGCCAGCAAAATGAGTGGTCACAGGTTTAAATCGACCTGCTGGCTGTGAATCTCCAGGCTCCTCTGTAAATTGGACTGAACAGAATAAAAGTACAAGGCTGAAATCCTCAAACATTACATAGCAAAACCACAAGACCTACTTGTTTGTAGGAAAAGATCAGTACCACTGTCATATCCGTCAGGCAGCAGTAGGTTAGCTGTAGTCTGTAAACAGGGGTTTGTTTAATTGGTATACTGGCTTTATGTTTTCACTGTCTGCTTTGAGATGGGATACGTTTCAGTTTTAAATTAGTTAAGGGACAATTTTAGTGGTCTGGACAGGAAAAGGTGAAGGAGGTGCTGACATTTTCAAATAAAATGTCACTTACCACATTCTTCGTTTTACATTTTAATGACATTTCAACAATAGAATGCACATTTGTCAAAATTAACTTCTGAATGCTGTACAAAAAAAAAAAAAAAAAGCAATCATTTGGAAAGGAAGAGAGTCAATTCAGTCTCATCACCTCAAAGCAATCATACACAGTAGGTCAAGTTCTACCAAACAGTGCAACAGGCTCTCTGGTTCTACTTACATTTACCTAACAAGGCAATTATGAAGTATGTACAAATGCATAGAGATTGTATTCAAGCAATATATTTTATCACAAGAAGATGCATAGAGTATCCAGCATATAGCATAGGTCAGTGTCACCAAAATATTTTTCATGCTTCCAGACAGAGCAGATGCAAGTCAATAAATATGCTTGAACACCATTTTAAAAAGTAGGAAGCAAAGTATGACTTCCCTTTAGAATCATGTAGAAAAATAGTTTATGTTTATGTTTAAAATAAATTGTTTAATTTTGAAGATATACACCAATTTAAACACATGAGGGCAGAGTCAGATGTGACACTGAAACACAAACGTCCGTTGTTCCCCACAGTTATTTGACCATTGGATTAGACAAAACTTCCCATTGTAGAAACACAAATTATAAAATGCATTCATTGTATGGAAGCCGAGAACAGTTTCAATAATTTTATTTTATTTTAAGTTAAATATTTTGTTATGTCCGGATAACAGAGATTTTATTTCATGATAACCAGTTTTGGGCTACAACTAAATATTTTCATAATCCATTAATCTGCTGATTACTTTCTTGATTAATCAATTAACCATGTAGTTTATAAAACATCAAAAACAATGAAAAGGTGAAATAAAATTGTAAAATAACTTTTTTTGTGCGACCAACAGTCCAAAAGCCAAAGACAATCCAATTTACAATTATATTTATAAATTCTTTTCTAGAAAAGATGCTGATTACGATTAATCAACTATTAAAATATTTGCTGAATATTATCGTCTCAATCGACTAATTATTTAGTTATAGTTTTATTTATAGTTTTAACAAGATGTTTATTTTGCTATGTTGGGAAAATAACTTTTTGGAGACATCTCAGGAAGAGGATGTTTTGTTTTTCTCAAAATACAGTCAGTTGCCAGTTTATTAGGTACACCTAGCTAAGTATTGATTCATCTGGATGGTCATTTTGGACGATGTAGTTTGAGACGCTGTTGAATTGAACAGTGTGAAAAAGGCCCCCTCTATCGCAGACTCTTCTCTACTATCTCTCACTTTGCACAATCAGAACAACACCCAGAAGTCATCTGGTGTGAAGTGCTTCTAGAGCCTCATAAACAGAAACAATGCAATACAATTCAACACAAAAACTGATCATAATAACCTTTATAAAGGTAGGATATATTGCTGGACTGTTGCATTACACAGCATTAGTTTTAGCTAAGTGTACAAGCAACTCTGAATCATCCTGTTATCACAAGAAAACAAACATTTTATCCTGAGATAACAGCAACCTTGACCGTCCTTGGCTTCCGTACATTTGTGTGACCAATGCAAAATGAAAACCTTTAGAACAGATGCAGCATGAGCACCCTGTTGCATTTATCTTGACTAATGTTTGTGCAAAAATACACACAGATAGAGCCATGTGAAAATATGACAGACAAAAGAGATACTATTCATTTGGGTGAAGAACAAGAAAGGAGAAAGTGTGTCAGCATGAGTGTCAGAGTGGAATAATAAAAAAAATGGCAAACAATACGAGGAGAAACATTGTCTACAAAGATGACACACCACTCTGCCCCATCCATTAGTGCATTGTTACTTGAGCAGCATAGAAACCATGCACCAACCCACGGAAGAAACAACACAGTCACTAGTGTATATAGGAGTCCCTGTGCCATTGTCGAGCATCTCTGTCTCTATCTCTGCCTCGATCCCTATCTCTGTCCCTGTCTCTGTCTCTTTCCCTGTCCTTGTGTCTTTCTCTGTCTCTGTCTCTGTCTCTGTCTCTGCCGTGGTAGTGGTGGTAGTTGTGATGATTGTGTGCAGGATAGTGATCCTTCTGGTGTGTCCGTGGTGGAATATGCTGGTGGTGCCTGTGCTGCCGGTTGCGCTCATTGTGCTCCTGCTCATAGTCTTCCCCGACGTGTGGCTGGCTGTTCCCACGGTGATGTTGGTGGTGGTGGTGGTGATGGTGGTGATGGTTGCTGTTGTGATGGTGGTGGTTATGGCCCCGGTGGTTATAGCGAGTCTCCTCCTCATCCTCCTCCACCACATCCTCCACCTCTTCCTCCCTCTCCTCAGGCAGGTGTCTGCGTGGCAGCCTCTGGCTATAATCCCTGCTCGACTGTACTTCCATGGCACCAGATGTTTGGTTGTGCTGAGTGTGGCTGTGATGCTCCACACGGCGGTGATGGTGGTGGTGATGGTGATTGTGGTGGGTGTGCTGGGGTCTCTTTGGTTCAGTCCTCAGGAGTCGCTCTTCCTCCTCTCTTTGGCCCTCCTCAGCCCTCTCTTCCTGTGCTGGGGCTGAAGGGGGATCCTGGTCTAGATGGTTCTCCCTAGAACCCTTCCTCTTAGGGGCAGCCGACTTCTTGTTTTTCTGCCCATCCTAGGACAGAAAAGTACAACGTAATGGTCAAATACATCCATGTAAATGACACGCATTTATAGAAAGCTTAGTTTAACAAAAAAACAGAGTTGGTCAAGTTACTTTCAAATGTACTATTCCTGATTACGCTACTTTTGCAAGACTTTAGAATTTTAAGAATAACAGCATAATGAAGGCTCTCTTCCAGAGAGGGAACAAATAGGCTTGGACAGGCAATTAACACTTAATTAAGGTGTTAACGCAGAGATTGTTATGGTTAGAAAAAAAAGTCAGAACTAATTAGAGGCAGAGCCGGGGTGGAATATGAATAGGGAACAGAAGTAAACCTTTGTAAAAACACAGCTAAAACAACAACAAAAAAACAAAAACAACATAACAAAGCTCAGCACAGAGAAAACAGCGCTGAAAATGCCCTTATAGTTAAATGGTTATGTTGTGGTTAGGGTTGTCCTGAATTAGGGTACTGGTACCTTTTTCATCCAGTTTAGGCACTGGTTACTTGACATAGTAACAAAGTAATACATTACTTGTTTAACACGTTACTCCCTACACTGTCCATATGTACACATTCACACATACACACATACACACATACACACATACACAGCTGCTGTTAGGGAGGCAGCTGGTCCTCAAGAGCCTAAAACTGGCAATCACACCAGAGGCAATTTGAGTATTTTTGGATGATAATATTCAGTTTTATCATGGGACCCTGGGTCACTCAGTGCTGCCCTGTGCAATTACTCACACACACACACACACACACACACACACACACACACACACACACACACACACACACACACACACACATACACACACTACCACACTACTGCCCCAGGCTTATCCACAGCTGTTTATTTTCACTATTAATTAGCTGATCCAGTTTTAACTTTTTATATTTTTTTGATAACTTGATAGCTAGCGCACCTATTTCTATCAAAAAAGTTTTAGAAATGCAATGATGAGGGCAGTATATATATGTAAAAAGTAAATTCAGTTTTCAGTTTCTAAATAATAAAAATGAATCCACATATAAGCTATCACAACAATGTATGCTCTGCATCCTGGATTGTTTGTAAACAGATGTTTTTTCTAGCTAATTTCTAAAGACGGTGCTTCTGTAACTCATCTCTATTACTGCGGTGCATTGGTGAAAACTCAGCAGAAATAGAATTTATCTCACTCACCAGAGGCAGACCTATCTCATTTCTTCTTCAACTTTCCAATAGAGTAGGATGAGGAGAAATGAAATGAAAATGTTAGATGAATGGAAACAAATGCAGATGCATGCAGCACACCGTGAAGTTCCGCTGTCTATAAAACACTCTTGCTGAGCTCATAATTTACTATACAAACATTTGTTCTACATTCAACAGACTGTACAGATGAGATGAGTGGAATGAGATGAGATGACAATATGAAAACGATATTATATCCTATAACTTCCCATGTATGTGTCTGTAATTTGTGTACCGGTATTGCTGAAGGACTGGTGGGCAGTGTATTCTCAGCCAGCTGAGCCACTAGTGCGTTGGCAGGCTCCATCTCTGGTGGATGAGTGGCTCTCCAGTAAGACTCCAGATAATCAGCAATGTGCTCACAAGCATCAGTTAGCTGGTTCTCATCTAAGATGACATCAAACATTTCCTACAAGAAAAAGAGAACAATGACGGTTATAAAAAGCTAACAGTAGGAAACAAACAAAGGAGTTTAAAATATAAACTGTGACACCATCGATAAAGTGGCAGAAGTGTGTGTGGGCTTTAAAAAAACACTCTTCTGGTAATCATGTAAGTCTATTAATTAGGTCTTGCAATGATATTCAGATAAGGAAATGTAAGGAAATAAAGTCATCTCAAAAGAGGACACCCACATGAACAGTGAAGTTCCTCTCTCTATAAAACTGACCATTCAGTGTCATCAGAGGATAATATGCTGAATTTTACTCTATAACACTAATCAATAGAATGCAAAAAAAACGAGAATTATAAAACACTGAGGTAATGTATGGACACCAACAGCGAAAAGTCTAAATTTCTCATATTTTATTAATTCAGTTCGCTGTTTGATTTAAGGTTTTATTTCCCTACATGAAGGCCTAAATGTTGTCAGTGCTGCTCTCCCTCACATTATTTTTTGCCTAATAGAAGATCTTAAATACACAGTCTAAAAATACGGGATTCTGCCTAAAGATATACCCATCATGTGTCATTTTGTAGAATATAAATTCCCCCCAAGTTGCTAAACCCCCTAAATTCCCATTTCCCAATTACCAGTTTAACAAGACACAAAGCCAAATGTATACTGTTGAACAACTGAAATGTTTAAATGTATAACATGACATGATAACAGCCCATGTATTCCAGATCAAATGCAGTATTACTGAACATTAACTACCACTGCACCAATTTCAGCCAGTGGCCACTAGATGGCACTCACCGAGGGGCATTGGGCGAGCTTGTCTGCTGCCACCAATTGAACATTAAGATGTTTGGTCTGTGATTTCCCTCTAGTCTTGATCAGCCTTGTTAACACCTACACAGCAGAAGTTCAGAGAAGGGGGATAAAAAAGAAGCAGGGAAAGAAAGAAAAAGGGGTTGTAGTGGCTTATTTTACAGGATTGTGTACACACAGTACAATATATTGAGGAGCAGTTAGTCCTAAAGAAGGAGCAGGTTCTCTGGTAAAGCTTACTTTTGGTGATGAGATCTTGACATAGACTAGGATCGGTGCCAGGGAGGTCTTGGCCACCTGGAGAGGGTGGTTGACTGTGTCTGCATCTAGAACCACCAGCTGCAGGCTGCGGGCGAGCTCAAAGATTCGCTCCACCTCACCCTGGATCTGGGCTGCAACAGCAGAGAGTAAAAGCATGACTTTGACATCTAATGTACATTAATTGTGTGCAGTTAACATTTAAAACAAGATGCCACATCTCACAGTTGACTCCTAAACTGACAGTAAATATTTTCACATCATTGACCCATAACTTTGTATTATAATTTCACAAATATGTATGTATTGTTTATTATGTATGTATTTTCATTGCCAGCGGATTGTTTTGCTTTTCTCAATTTTATTAAATCAAGATGCAGAAATTAGGAATCAGAAATCTTTTATTTTGAAGGTTAGACCCACACAGAAAGTTCATGTTTAAAACAGAAGTTGACAAAATAATCTCACCACATGACTATTTACTGTGACAGCCGTAGTGGAGCTTTCGATTGCATCACACAATCTTCCACAGCAGAGATAGCAAACATGGATGAGAAGTCTTTAAAGTGCTCCGAAAAAATGGAAATTTGATCTACAATCTATAATTTCATGGTAAGTGGGAAACTCCATATATGGAGTAGTAGTAGTAGAGTAAATGGACCTTGTGGAGAGCTTGTGATATCAAAATTGCTTATTGGTTTTGAAACTATAAAACAACCCTTTTTCTGCATCTTAATTATTCACAACAAACAAACAAACAACATGTCATAATTTGTATTCTATTGTAGAAAACAAGACAAGTCCAAAAACACAGACGTGAAAAATCTGTAAATGTGGCCTATGATGAAAAACTGTTTAATGAGACTACCTGAATAAGTGATGTGTTTCTTATTTTCTTAACCAGGATGTGTAATTTAAAGATTGGCCACTAGATAGATAGATAGTAAAAAAGCGTCACCCCCCTCCCTTTGGCCTGGGATATAATGTCAAAAATACAATATAGTCTGGGCTGCAAGATTTTTCTTTTCTTCTAATTGTTTCATATCAATTTAAACTACCATTTCGTATACAATTAAAATAAAAACAAAAAAATTTGTCTGGCACAAAAAAATTGGCAAAGTGCCTACAAATGCGTGCAAAAGGTTGATAAGAAGAGAGCAAGCTTTGGGGCTTTACAAACAAAAATTATAAATAAAAATGTTTGGAAAATGCTGTTTGCATTTTTTGATGTAAGTAAATGGAAATAGTTTCATAATAGTTTCAGAAATATTTTCCTCGCTTGAAGTACTTGAATGAGTACGTTGAAGACTGACGTATGAGGTGACATAAGAGCAATGGGGCCAAGACAATTTGAGTTTGAGACACCTGATCTAACCGTTTTAAATCTTATATTTGCATTGAGATTTAACTGTTTCACAACATACTGTTACATTCCTACTGTTAGCCCACTAAACATATAAACAGCTAAGAACATCTGCTTGTGCCAGCTCCTGTGTATTTCTACACAGGAAACAGTGGCTGTTGGTAGTGATGTGAAGTGATGAAAGGAAGAAATGAAGGAAGGTGGCGCATTCAAACAGACATGGACTACCAGTGCTTTCAGTCATACATACCGGCAGCATCTGGGATGATGAGAGAGCAATGAGAAAGACAAGAGTAGAGAAAACCAAGTAAATCTTATCCCACTTCTGTTTGACACCCATCTTTTCTTTAAATATTAAATAAGGTAGAATTAAGCTTAGCCTATACAGCATAATGTCACCGGGGCAAAGACCCATCCGCTAAGCACCATACAATCTTTACAGACACAATCCAGCGGTCTGCTTACGTCAGCCTGTTTTCTTTATTTACTGATTGCTTCTGGAAATATGTTTGCTTTCTTGCCGGAGTTAGATTTAAAAATGTATATCATCCGCATATCTGCATGCTAAATATGAAAATATATTGTCTCCCCCTGGTTCTACTCTTCATGCTAAGCTAAATGTAGCTTCATATTTTTCATACAAACATGAGAGGGGTACCGATAGACAAGAGAGCAAATGAGAGTATCTCCCAAAATGTCTAACTATTATTGTGTCTGTATTCGTCGTCAATGCAGTGCATACAACAATCTGTGACATTATTATCCTGTTAAATAAGGGATAATCTATTCAGTGTATAAAGATTTTGTGAGCAGAGATAAAGCATGAAATAAAGAAAAAGTGAAAGTCTGACACATTCATTTCAGACCTGGGTCAGATAGTATCAGTTGCTTGTTTAAACCTAATTAGGGCTGCAAGTGGGTGAGGTTTGCCACAAGGGGAAAACACAATGAAAGTAAAGGCAATTACTAGAAGTTATTTTAGAAGTCAATTTTGTGTACTTTTCTGTTACTGATACTATCCGAATTGTCCCGATGAGGTAAACCCCAACCACTTTACTCTCCAAACAGATAAAAGTGGTGCAACTACTGGCTTCAGATTGGGATGATAAACCCTGATGTACCTAAATTGGAGCGCGTGTTCGACCGGTCCATTAAGGCCTTTTTGCCAGGGTTGTTGAGGATGGACCGTTTGGCCAGAGAGATGTCTGCTGTGACTCGTGTAATAGTAATTCTGGAGAGGGGGACAGAGAAACAGGGATTGTTACACAGTCGCGATTCTCATTATGTTTTTATTTCCACACAAGAGATGTGACACTGAGGACTTAAATCAGAACATACCTGCCTTCAAATCGATGTTTTAAAAAGTCAAATAGTGCTTTTTGCATCATATCTGTAACCTGGAATTAGACAGGAAACATGGATTTTAAATGAAATTACTCTCTGTTCAAGTTTAACACGAAATACCTCTGTTTATTTGAGATACTAGATTAGTGTTTCTCAGCTTTACAGCATATTAGACCCTTCACAAGTCAAAGGAAACTCATGAAGAGTGTGGCAGACTCACCTCTAAGCCCTTCAGTGATGGTCCCATTAGAACCACAGGACGCATTGTAGGCACTACATCATACATAGCCACCTGCTCCCCCTACGGCCACAAAGAAAGTTTTATTCAGTATATGAGATAAAGGTGAATGTCTGTGGATGAATGTTTACATTGCAAGCAACATTTTATCATAATCACTTTTTATTGAAAAGTTCATTTTTTGTGACAAAAAGAACAGGACAGTTGCATCCATCTTCAGATAAATGGCTCTTAAAGTTTTGTATATAAGTTCTCTGTTTGTCTGTAGCTGCTTAATATTTGAAACGTGTTGGCATGTTTTTTAATTATTAATACATCACTACCCTCTTAAGTGCCAGATTCCTTCAATAATTCTAAATGGATCTTATCTTCTGTAAACAAGCTCTGATGGTGAAGTTTAACCCATGGCCACTGCAGCATTTACTCAGCTTTGGTTTTTTTTTTATCAAGCAAAAATACCCAAAAATAAAAAAGAATTCATTTAATATGATAGCTGACTGAATATCCTTTAGTTCTGGACTTATGGTCAGATAAAACAAACAATTGAAAGTCATTATTTTGGGCAACGGGTAATTACACTGGGCATTTTTCACTATTGTTTGAGATTTTATTGACTACCGAAAAAAATGACAGATTATTTAATAATGTATATAACAGTTACTTACAGGTTAACTGAATATATAGAACAGATGTGGAGTTACGTTCAGTAGATGCAACCTTTACACTTTATAGTGCAGGCAAAGTAGTGCTAATGCTACAGATGTTTTTTACTTCACGAGAAATGTCACATTATACTGGCTAGAGCATAAAAATAATATGTCTAAAAATAATATCTCCACATCAAAAAGTAAACTAACACTTTTGCTGGAGCCTTCAACAGCATCTGACTCTCTTCCTCGCCATGTTAACACAGGAAAAAATGCTATAGAAAGTCATATTAGTCACACTCAATCTTAACACCCGCCAACATGTTGCTTGCAGTGCAAACGAAGTGAACACTGATGACATTTGAGTTGTTTTTCTATTGTTTTATGAAGCTTTTTATAATCCAAGGTTTTTTATAGACTGATGTGTTATATATTACAAATCTCCAGGTACTTACCGGTTTCTTTTTCACCTGCTGATTGGCTGTTCATACAGAAGGATGAGAGAGGCATCTAATGTTAACTCACCAATAATCAGAAAAATAGACAACAATAAATATTTGTACACATTTTGGCACACACACTGACCTTGTGATGGAGGAGTATATTTCTTTGAGTTCATATCTTGAGCTACTTGATTTGCTGCTTTGCTAAAATGAGAGAACAGTCCTAAATTAGCTCAGATCTTTCCCACTAAAAACGGAGACAAACAAGTCCGTCTCTACAGTCTAAATGTCAACGTTTCAGTCGCAGTGAACACACTCTCTCTATGCACTCTGTTTCTATGCAATATAATAATTTGTTCTTACTCATTGTATATCTACTTCTATAAGACACGGCTATATAAAACATAGAGGGTAAATCCCTTGAAGTGATTCAGCACACACAGTTGCCAAATTTCCAAGATCCTCTAGATGTGTTTCTTTGAGCCTAACTGGGTCAAGTCAAAATCTCTCAGTCTGTAGTGGATTTTCATGCCTGCCAGACTGATTAGAGTAAAAACAACCCACTGACTGAACATAAGGGAAACATTCCTACTTTTGAATCTCATTCTACTTTCACATCTTTGAAAGTTAATTTTATACCATGCTGAAATAAATACTAATGCGTCAAAAACGCTAGAAAATGTATTAAAAAAAGATAAATATCATCAGCAATATACTGTAAGTAGGGATGCACGATAGGTAACCGATAACTACCTGCTTCTCATGGCCAATACTGATAAGATAACCGTAATTTCACATTTTTATCATTTAAAAATAAGTTGATAACCTGTAGGTTTTACACATCCGAGGGTAAGACATGATTCTAATAATATATAGAGAGATATAGATTATTATATAGAAATATTTTGTGCATGTGTGAAAATATTTTGTGCACATGTAAAAGTTACTGCAGTTGTAGAAATATTTAGTGTATACAGGAATTATCTTCAAAAGTGAGGTTTCACAAAGTCTGACCCTGTGACCCATGAATAACTCCCTTACCTTAAGTAACTAGATTACTTGAGATTACAGTTTTAAACCTACCACTATTCCAGTTTTTAACTGGTTATGAAACAGTCTTAATTTAATACTGATGCCTCTATATTATCTACATAAACAAACAAGACTATCAGCAAGAGGATTGACTATTTCTGTGAAGTTATTCTTAATGCCTTCCATGCCCTTGAAATCAATTAAATGAGGCGGTGGAAACACTACCACCTTTTGTCCACAGGAGCCGCCATAATCAACTAAGAAATAAAAGTTTCTTGTAGCTGGTTTAAGTATTTTTCTAATAAAGAACCAGATCAAAAATGTAGCTGTGTGCATTGAATTTTTAGTACACTAATGCACAAAGAGTGGCAGAGAAGCGGGTCAGTTGGGGCCCTCATTTTTTCCATAGTGCACCCTTGAGGTTTAATCCAGCCAAGCTTGCTTTGCTTCTATCCTCGAAACAATTCCTGGTGTGACCCTTTCACACTGATAACACCTCTCTGGTCAAAATGCAGTTTGACTAATCTGTGGATGTTTTCAAAGAGCATCAGCTGAATACCTAAAATGTCATATAATCCTCTGTGTTTCACTCTGTAGTGATGTTTTGTTTGTACGTGTGCTGGACCAATAAAGATTATTATTAGGATTACATGATAAGTCAGCACACTACAGCGTGGGCTTGTGTGCTTGTTCGTAACCCTGTTGTATTGAAGCTACTGGAAAAGTGAAACATACTTGGCTAAGGCCTTGGCAGCTTTCCTCGCCTGGACTTCTCTTCTGATGAGAATGGTTTCCAGATTGACTGGACTGGGGATGAAGCCCACCACACCATCCTCCTTCACCGGCCGTCCGATCCACCACTCATTGTTAAACTTCTAGTCATTAAAAAGAAAGAAAAAAGTACATTTAAGGCTGATATCCACCTGCTTTAATAAAAATGTATTCATTCTGACAAGCCCTAACGGATAGTACTTATATATAATAATATATAATATAATATTAATTCCACCTCTGTGAGACTCCATGATGTGAGTGTGTGTGTTTCAAACCTCTTTGACATGGAGGAAATCTCTGGCCTCAAAGGTGACAGCCTGGCCCGGTACAGGAACGTTGTCGTCGTCTGCTGGAGTGTAAGAGAAGTTGCAACGTACTGCGAATGCCACAGGTTTGTACTGGGGACACAGGACATACAAAATAATATTACTAATGCATGTCACAGTCACCTTTAATCCCTACATTTCACCAACGTATACATTTTCACACAATTCATTTTTCACTCAATTACGATTAATAACATACATTATAATGAATCTTCACATTGAAAACAGTCTTCCCCATAACCAAGAATAATAATGATATTGTAAAGGAGAACTGAAACTAATGAAGACACACATTTTCCCTACTGCCGCAGTGGGAGAAAACAGCTATTTGACCGTCCTTATTTAAGAGACATTAATAATGAATGCAAAACTGTATTTGAAAAAAGATATAAGATATTGCAAATATACAGAACCCAACCAGTGTCATATAGAAAAAAACAATTGGACACAAAGTTAATAAATTGTGCTCTAAAATTATTAATGGGTACCCACAGGGATACAAACACAATATAGCATTAGAAGAATTATAAACATTATGTCTAAGGGATATTAAAGATAAAAACACATTGATGAATAAGCAACAATCCAAGTATCTAAACATCCAAAATCAATAAAGTGCATTAAATCCCAGCAGCGCATTTAGATCAAGTTCTTCATGGCCTGATAATCTAATCAATTTGAACTGAAGCTACAGGTTGTTGTGGCTACTCCGAGTGTTAGTGACAGGCTAACGGCTGTGTTTTGGTAATAAGTGCCTACCAATACTGGATTAATCCCATTATGTAATTATCATGAAGTTAAAATAAAACCAATTGGACACTGTGTCAGCAACACCCGTCAGCTTTGACTGCTATCATGTGCACATATACAACTGTGCAGGCTAATGAAGTGTAAAATGAGCATTGTGACAGTTGTCAGACCATAGCAAAGCTATTTAAATGAGCCAGAGATACGTGGATAGATTTAGGATTCAGTTTGCTTATTGATGAATATGAATATGTTATCTTTGACATTATTTTATTATTTATGTTTATAGAGCATTATAATGCGTTATAATGGTGACTATAACACATTATAATTGGGGTTTTAATCCATTATAAAATGGTTATATTACAGCTATAAGAATTATATTATGAACCTTGGCAAAAAAAAAGTTTCAGTGAGCGACCAGCAATTGTGAACTATTAGGATACTTGGTCTAAAGTAATTCTTAAATGCTTTATAATGTGTTATTTTTATTGTTATAAAGCTTGATTGATGTATGTACGAGTGCCTATAACTATAATTATAGTTGGATAATGCATTAAAAGTATGTGTACTATAATGTATTATAATGCTTTATAAACATGGGTGTCGTAGTAAGAGAGTGATTCCATTATTTCTCTCTAAAATACTATATTGATATTTGTTGTTTTTAAATGTCTTCTATCAATAAACTGACTAAACTTGACAATAACACTCCTCTTGTATCTTTCACAACTCGCACAATCTGTAATGGCTTTTTGAAACAAATTATAAAAATGACATTTTGACGAGTAGGAAAAGCCAAGAATCAATAATAAACTTAATGAATCCATTAAGGGGCTTCAGGTATTTGTTTTTGGTATTTTTAAATCACTGTCACACTGTCATGTCTTACTGGGGCACTTAAAATGGAGCTATTAGTGACATCTGCTTGTTTCCTTCTATGACAAATCAAAGTGTCTGCTGTGAAAAAGGCCTATTGCATCTTTCTCTTCGCTGCGCAGTAGCTACAGTATGCTTCCTTCTGGTTGAATGCCTGTTGGAGTTGTAATCCTATCAGAGTCAAATGTCAGCGGCATGCAGATCAAGCTGCTAATTACTCCACTTTGGAAAGATGAGGCTGTGGTAGAGGCTGTGGGGTCAGCAGGGGACGGGCCGAGGGTTTTTGCTGCCTTAATTACAGAGCACCAGTGGGAGCACATTAAATCTGTGGGGGAGGATTTAATTCAATATTCAGTGGGACGTGTATCAAGCAGGCAATGTTTGAAAAGAAGAGAGAGGGGAACAGTTTGATATCAGCTGTGATAGTCTGATATATTTGTATACTTTGAGGTCATTATGCCAACAGAAAGAAAAAAAGTGGATACCCGGCCCTCTGTATAACAGTGATAGCAATACAGGGGACGTTCTGGCAATATTTTCATTTAAAAGGTTGTAATAGTCGCCTGTAATAACTTGACTTGATTTCAAAGTGCTTTTAAAAAACCAGTGTGTAGGATTTAGTGCTTTTTAGTGGTGTAGTTGCAGAATCCTCCCTCGCTTCACCCTCCTCTTCCAAGTGTGAGAGAGATATTCTGGTGCCTGCATAAAAGTGTTATAGTTATAAAAGGCTCATTCTAAGGTAGCAAAAACATAACAATTCTTATTTTCAGGTGATAATACACTTATGAAAACATAGTTACACTGAACAAAATTATTATTGTTTTTGCCCCCATTCATCATGAGCTGAACTCAAAGATCTAAGACTTTCTCTATGTACACAAAAGACCTATTTCTCTCAAATATTGTTCACTAATCTGTCAGAATCTGTGTTAGTGAGCACTTCTCCTTTGCCGAGATAATCCATCCACCTCACAGGTGTGCCATATCAAGATGCTCAACAAAAGTGTTGCATTTATAATTTTGTTCAGTGTATGTATATTATATTCCATTTCTGCCAATGCAGACTCCTTAATGTTACACACTGGACCTTTAAGAAATATCTTTTCAGGACACTAAAAAACTGTACTTTACTTGAGTGAGTGACAACTTTTAAACTCCTCTTTGCATTGTTGAACACCTTCCCAACATCAAAACAGCTACACATCACGCATGGTAAACGTAACATGACAAAAATGGTGTAACAACACGAAACAGTTGAAAGAGGAAAAAGACTCGACCCTATTTGAAGTTTCAGAAAACAGCCGGTAAAACGTCCTTCAGAGGAACCAAGAGAGTACTTCTTACTTTTATACTTTGAGTACATTTCAGAGCCTGTACTTTTTCACTTTTACTTACTAAAGAAGTGGAATCAGTACTTCTACCTGTATCTTTCTGTATTTCTACTTGAGTAAGAGATGTATGTATGTCTTTTTCCAACTCAACGCAAATCATAAAACAAAACATAACAGCCACTCAATCAGTAATAATCATTCCTTCTCCCGACACTGAGCACATATGACAAGGAAGAAGACTGCAGTGACTCATTTTAATAGAAGAATATTGTTCTGCTAATCTGATGTTTCCTGTCTGTGATGTAACCATGTCCTTGAGAGCAGACCTCTCTCTCGGGTCGACTGACACCATGATGAAACAGTGAGAAAGTACCTTGGCTTTCTCCAGCTGCACCTGAGCGTTTCTTTCCTCAACGACATCCGGGTCCTGACGCTCTCCCTGCAGGAGAGAGAGAGAGAGAGAGAGAGAGAGAGAGAGAGAGAGAGAGAGAGAGAGTAATGACAATTAGTTTAATACTTCTCTGCATTCTCTGATTGGATCCTTATCTTATTGACTCATCCAGCAAAAATTATTTTTATCAAGATACGGAAAATTTATTTTCAACAAAAAAGTAACCACTCAAAGCGCTTCATGCTCACATTCACTCATTCACACAGCGATGGCACAGCATTAGGAGCAATTTGTGGTTCAGCATGCTGCTCAAGGACACTTCGACATGCAGTGAGAGGAGCCAGGGATCAAACCGCCAACCTTCTGATTAGTGGACAACCCGCTCTATCTCCTGAGCCACAGCCGCCCATAGCAAGTGTAGTGATAATGTATTTATTTGGCCTCATTGGGATTAAAAATGTCTTTCTCATGTGTCCTGACCAAGAGAGTGACAACATGTTACAGAGTAACAACATGAAACAGATATAAGACAGTATAACCCAATATACAATATGTCACAGGGTGAGACATAAACACATCTGTGATTCAACCAAATTTTGCCTCTTCAAGAAGACCCAGGTGCAATTCCAGATATCTATAAGTAGCCAGAAAAAAATCCATAAATATGAATGCGACTAATCTTTCTAAACACTAAGATGTTTGTTTATTTGTCTGACAGTTTCCACAGACACAAAGAGAATTTCCGATAGGATAATAAATGGAACTAACTTATGAAAACAGATTAAAATTTATCCCAAAACATCAGAAGTCAGATGATAAAGTAGAGTCTCCGCAGCAGAAGTGGGTCACTTGAGTAAATTTTCTCAGACTTGACAAAGCTCCTCCAGGCCCACAGAAATTATTCAACTCTTCTTACAGTCAGGGTAATAACTCCCCCGTGACTCACAAAAAACATAAACTTGGTAGAGTGGTCCTTTAAAATCACAAAGTAACATGTGAGCCACCGCGACGAGCCCCTTTCCCAATCATAGTGGATCATTAGCATTTTTGGATTTTTATTCCCAGATATTAGATTGGTTAGAAAATGGTTTTCTTCTGGCTATATATTTCCCAGTTGGCTACAAAACAATTATTTCTATAAATTACGCTTTGAAGCATAGAAACAAACAACCATTAAAATGACATTTTATGACTTCACATTCTGTCTCATGACTGCGGCTGCTTCTTTGGTCTTTTTGGGTCGTTTGAGTTTTGTATCAGGTCTAATTATCCTCTGCTCGATATGGAATGGGAAAATGAATTAATACACATAGGATACAGGTAGGTTTTCCACAGTTATGTTTGGATTTATTCAATTTTTTGGGACGTGTTAAGAACTAACTTAACTTAAAACAGCAAGCATCAATACCTCAGAACTAGATATAATCACATCCCTAATTCAACGTGACTGAACACTTCGCTGTTTAGCTTTTGACCTAATAACATCTCCAAGACATGCCCTCTCATTTACTGTCCCTTTTTCCAGAAGCCTCCTGCCTTTAATTGTCAGGAAGTGTTGCAGCAGATGCCTCATGGGACGCCCAGGTTTATGTGCCATGCGTCCCAGAGATTAGATTGTCCCCTCAAAGACATGGTAATTAATGCCCTCTGTGTCATAGCCAGGAGGTGGCACAGCCCTCTGCGTCAATCTGGCACTCAAGATACACACTTGCATCCTAAAGTCACAAATCAGCTCTCTCGTTGTAGACAGTCTACTCAGTCTGATGCATTTGAACAAGACTGTGATCCTGTGAGTCCTTGGTGAGTTCTGAAGTCAATATTCTCTAATCTAATCTCAAACTCTTCACACATGGTGATATATTTATTCAGTGGATATCAGTGACATAAAATTGACATGAATAAGGCCACAATATTTGACACTATATGTAATTTATTTGCAGTTCACCAGGTCGGACGCAGGACACTAACCATCCACCCAAACTTCTCACTCTGATGTCTGTGTACTAAGGATGTTACACTTCCTTGACTGACAACAAACATCTTCCAGGCAGCAATTATGTTTCTCTCAAAACATCTTTGTCAGAGGAAATTATTTTAATATATATGTATTTTGTAAGAGACGGGGTTTCCATTATTTATGTTTATTAAACAGAGAATACCCTGGTTGAATATGACGGTCAGTCTGTACAAGAACTCTTTAGCTCTCCCTTACCCAATCACCCACTCCTACTCTCTCTGTTTTTCCTAAGGAATGCACACCTCGTGCATTACACTAGTGAGAGACTGATATTGACGATGCTGTGGCTAGTGTATGCAGCCACAGTGGCATAACCAATTGTCATCTCAATTGTCCAGATAAAGAAGAGTTTAAAGATGCCTTAGAGAGATAACAAGACAACAAGAACAAGAACAACGCGAGCAATGAAACAATGCCCTTAAAATAGGAGAGAATATAAACATAATTTGAAAACCTTAAAAACTACAATAACCTTGGGGGCAAAAAAGGCCTCAAATAATGTGACAAAACCAGGACATGATGTACGTATTAACAAGATGGGATGGTGTTGGTAATTAGCAGAGAAGAATGCGTTGCACACAAGCAGGAGGATGAGGTAGCAGAGACAATGTCAAGACAGAGAATTAAACATGATGAGGAGGGAATAACAGAGGAGGAGGAAGTAAATCTCCCTGGGGCAGAATTATGCCCAGGCATGGGTTTTTGTTTACCCATGGCTGGTGTAGACATCTGTTCGCACAGCACCCGCCTCTCCTGCAGGCCAATGTCACCCAGCCAATAGTACAAAACGCCCCCGCTGAATTATTAAACAATGTTGAGCTTGTTCGTTACTGCAGGTGACTTAGAGATGTCTACTGTCTGGTTGAAGGGAAGAGATGCAAAAAATGACGGAATTATATGGACTGACTTTATTATTGCTGAGTTTAATCTTTATCCAAGGAAACAGTCAGGGATTATAGGCTATCCATGTCGTTAAGATGTTATTTTTTTAAATGTGAGCCATCTGTCTACGGCACCACAGCAATAGGGTATAGAAAATTAGACTGTAGTTTTTTTTTATTTTATAAACATTTTAAAAATAAAAGTAATTTTGAATACTTTAATTTATGATGAATTCTGTTTTTGTGATGTTTCATAATATGACCTTATTCCAGCTTCTCAAGTGGGAGGATTTATTAAGTATAACTTAGTATAACTTAGAGGTTTTTTTTGGACAGATAGAAAAACAAGCACTCAGAATTAGAGCCTTACCGATATATCGGTTGGCCAATATTATCAGTCTGTATTGGCCTATCACAGACATATTGGTAGCGTATTGGTATCAGCATGTGATCTGATATGAAAAAAATATGAAATATGTCAAAAGCATATTGGTTGGGCTCTACTTGGAACATATCATCTTGCAGTCTGGGAAGTTATTATGGGTATTTCACTATTTTCTAATATTTTATAGACGATCAGTCCAGACAATGGCATATTATCCGATGTTATGTTAAGTTGTACTGAGCAGCTTTTGTGATATCATAAAACAAGGGCTTTATAAATCAGAGAACAGTTCAGTTAGAGGAAACTTCCTCTTAATTGACAATAATACCCAGAATTCCAGAGCTATAATACTATTACACTGTGCAGTATTTCCTGTGTCTTATCTGTTTCTTACTGTATGTCATGTGCTGCCCATCCAAAATGGCCCCACTAATTTTCTAATTCAGTCTTTTATTCAAACTCTCTACCCCACTCCTTCATTCATCCCCCTTCCTTCCTCTCAGTTTTTCTTCCTCCCTGTTGGAGCGCCATCTCAGCCCATTAACGTGATTATATGCTTTAAAAGGTGGGCAAAGGAAGGGTGGAGGACAAGGATGATGGGAGGGTGGGTGAACAAGTAAAGCCACATTTTCTGGTGTCGCACCTGAAGGTGACTCTTTTCCCGCTTAAAAGCGTTTACACAGCTCTTTTGACATGTGCCAGGGGAGCACATTAGGAGAGAAGCGTCTGATTGGGGAGATGGACTCCATCCCTAAACTAAAATAATCAGAGCCATCGAGTCACCAGGAGCCAGCTGGCTGGCCTGGAGCACTGCGATTCCCCAGAGGACAAACTGAACTGGGTCTTAAAGAAACGCTGAGATACAGCTTATGTTCACATTATATTTCAAGCAGTTTATCCATTTTTACTCAACTCTTTGTTGTTTGAGCAGCTGAGAAAATTTATATTTTTATGCTGAGCCAAATGCACACAGAAAGATCTTAATGAATTCACTTTGACTCATACATAAAGTCTCTAACTTAGCAAGATGAGGTTACTTGGTCTAATAAAATATTCATATACATTCAGCAAGTGTCTATATGAAGCTTTAGCAAAGGTTCAGATAGGAAGATTATTCTTTTGCATACGTCGTATTTATTTCTCTTTCCATCCTGCAATCACTCCTCTCACATATGCTCACGTATGATTTCCTTGCTTTCATTATCAGGAGTTGTCAATCGAGTTATCAGCTGTTCTCATCAGCTGATTTCATCCATCCAATGTCACAGGGACACACCTGCATTGTTAGTCTCATCTTGCTGCAGTCTCTCTGCCTTCAGTTCATTCATGCTGTTATTATGGCAGTCTTCGCAGATTCATCAGCCTCATTATTTTATCAAAATATAAGCCTCAGAGTCATCAGCCACTACCGCCAGTGTCTGAACTCCATGGGGGGGATTTATTTTGCTGCTGCTCAGGGCAGATGGCCCTCGATCACAAAAATCTCCCTGTTGAGTCTAAGTGCCACAGACAATGTGTCAAGACTTAATCACCACATGTCATCTGTTATAATAAACAATTATCTTTACTCCCTTCACTTGTCTCTCCTGATTGAAATACCAATTGATTAAAAGTCCTGTCACTTAGTATTTCGCAAAACGGACCTATACAAAAGAGAACGTGTTCAAAAATGTAACATAGTAAACTTTCCCATGTACCCAAGGAAACAAGAAGAGGAGGCTGATGTTCAAATGCTTTTGGAGCCATTTTTTGGAGAGGTAAAACT